GGTGCCAGAGTGATGTTAATGTAATACTCACACCTACACCCACACCCTCAAGACTAACTAAAAAAAACGAGTCGAAAGATTTCTACACATTTTTAAAGGTTTTTGTGAGTTTTTTAGAAAATTTTTAGCGGTATTTTTAGATTCTACCACAGCTAGATTGGAATTAGTGAAATTTCTACTTTAAATTCGGAAAACAAAATTTTAAAATGTGAAAATGTTTTTTAAAAAATCAGAGGGCTTCTAATACGTTAAACGCATTGTTCATCTCAGAGAGGGCTTGTATTATGGGGTTGGGTTCAAAAAAGATTTAAAAATTAAGAGAAATCAGGAGATTTGGCAACTTTGATTCTGGTGTTACTCAAAACATTTTTTCGTAGGTAAGTTGTACGGTTGTGGGTGACACTACAAAAGTTCTATCGTTCATGTATCAAGCAGCCTGGGAGAGCTGCTTCGTAACATGTTTCCTAAAAAAGTTGTGTGGCACGCAGTCAGATGGATCATAAGCGGAAAAATAACATTCGAAAAAGTTAGCGTCGATTAACTCATAACTGATCCTTACGATTAGATTTTGTTCGTAGGACCTTAGGAAGACGCATGCTGCTAATTTGTTTAATGCCACAAAAAATAACGCCCAGATATATTCATCAAAGAACAACTCATGTCTTAGTGTGAGAGTCTCACTTCCTTTAGCTCACTTTCAAAAAAAAGTCTTTTAACCATTATATTCAGTCGTAAAATATACGATGAGTTTATTACTTTCCGTTTAAATTGTACGATCTTACTTCAATTGTATGATAAACAAATTTATCGCAACGCTCCTCGAGTTTGCACAACAAAAAAACACTTTTATGCAATCCTCCTCCCAACAACAAAGAAACGACGCAGAAAGTAACTAACAACTACGAAAAAATACAAACGAAGAATGAAATCGAAAAAATACAAACGACGAATGAAATCGAAAAAATGAGGTACCCTAGAAAAATGAAAGAAAAATAACTAAGCAAAAGAAAAAGAACGAAAAATACTCTTGCGAAACTCTGCACAATAACATCGGAAAAAAGTAATGATGGAAAGACATCGTCGAACACCTGTTGAATTTGATCGCTTCTTGAATGTCGACACAAATATGCCTCACAAATTTACGAAGTTTTTCTAGTATATTTATATCAACCTCTAATAAGTGTCCAAATTCAACACTTCTTTGACGCTTTATTTGCTGTATGTGTGTATAGTATTATAAAATAATTCAGTCGAACGTAGATAAGTAGTGCTTCTTATAATGTTTTTCAACGACAAATTGAAGGACGCAACAACATGATGGATTTCAATCATCTTCGAAGTTAGCTTATCTCATACTGTACTCTGATAAAAAATATGACAGTTTAAGAGTTAATTCCTGCTTGTATATAGTTAATTTTATCTAAATGTAATTAAAACCATTTTATTTTGTATGCAGCACTCGACATTGAAGACAATTCTGTATCTTTCAGACATCGAGCGAAGTTACAGGAGGTGGTAAGCTCCGTTGAAGAATGGATTGGTTGGTGCATTATTTTTTGTGTCAGAATCGCTGCCCGCAAAAAGATGTTTGAAGCAACGACTGATCAAAGGTCTTTTTTATAGAAGACAATTCGGTCAGACCGGGGAAGGCTTTGGTCAAAAAAGATATTTTCAGCCTCATTTGAGGTAAAATCAGCTCATTTCTGGACCTTTTTTGCAAAGAAAAATCGCAAAGTTTTTCGGAAATAGGAATAAATTGCCTCCAGCGCCCCTCCTAAATCCGCCACCGGTTTGAGTCTCTATTGACATGACCAAACATTTGATATGTATGATCCTTAGCAGATATCCATTTGAAAGACGAGAACAATAGCAACCATAGTTTGGGATCTTTGAAGAAAAGAAAAACTATCCCTTCCACACAGGGCTTCTCGTGGAGTGGAATGGCAAGAAAAAACAATCTTTCCATAAGACAAACGGTCCCGTTTGTCCCACATAGGGCGAAAGGTGGGTGTAGGCTAGATTTCTGCAAGGGTACACTTTTTTGCACCCGAAACCGAACCGGCTATTGTTTTATGCTCAAATCCGACCAGATCCGACTTGAATGCAACCCGATTCGACCCAGACCGAATAGCTATACCCGGATCCGAACCGGTCCTAGTCAGTTACTTTTCAAAATATGATCAAATTTCTAAACTTTTATTTTATTCAATAAATGTGATACGTTTAGTTTCGTTCATAATTAACAAAGAAAAATATATATTAAGTAAAATTACGTAAAAAAACAAGTGAATCAGGAGTTAGTTGAAGATGTGAATCTTGCTCTTATCTCACGTCCACACACACACAGACCTACACCCACATTCACCCTTCATATTGTAAAATTTTAATTAACAAAACAATGAAAACTTTTCATCTGAAACATAAAAAATCTATTCAAAGAAACTAAACTTTTTTTTATGAAATATTACGATGAGTAATGGATCGTTTAATCATTATCACACTTATTTTTACTCCTTTTTTCATATTAGTAATAGTACCAGAATAAAATGTTAGAGAATCAGTGATATTACTAGTTACCGATTCGGATCCGGGTATACACTTTTACCCAGGCCCGAACCGCATTTTGTTTTCACACCCACTACCCGAACCGATCCGGCGAATTTTACTCGGCGCCGAGGCCCGAGTCGGGTATCCGTCCGGTTTGCGGGACACTAGTGTGGGTGTGAGTAATATCTTTGTCTAATATCCAAACTCACACTCAAATTCTACTTATACATGAGTAAATGTTTTTGATATTAAATAGATTTAAATGTTCTCATAAAGTTCAAATAAATTATATCAAAAAGAAAAACTACATAATTATGTCATTGAGTATGTTTAAATAAGTATTTCGATAAACATTGCTAGATTATGCAGTTGTTGAAAACACATATAATAGCGAGAAATATGCTGGATTAAAATAAAATAGAGTTGTTTAAAGACCAATGGTATGCATTGCATTAGTAATTCTATCAACAATATACTAAAAAAACAAAAATAAATAATAAAATTTTTAATAAATCAAATTTATTTTACTCGAGCTTCAGATATATTTCTATATTTAACCATTTTACCAAATGAACGAGTTGATCTTAATGTTCCAGTTTTCTTTGATTCCTTAAAGAATAAACAAATAAATAAAATATTTAATTTTTTTCGATTTTTTTGATTCATTACTTTTGTAAGAATTTGTATTTGATTCAAATTAGGTTTCACAACTGGTTCTTCTTTTAAATCTTCATATTCAATTCGCCAATCAATTTCATATATACCAAGAAATGATATTTCAGTTACAAAGAATAAACGTCTAAAATTTTTCGAAATTTGTTTTAATAAAATAATTAATCAAAACCTTTTTACTTTGATGTAGCTAATAACCAAGATGGTGGACTGTCTGCACAAGTTATATGTGCAATATACGTATCTGTTTTAGCATATTTCCCATTTTCTAATTTCTAAAAATATAATTCAAAAAGATATTTTATTAGATTAAGATATAAATTAAATAATTACACTCAAAATAAAAAATCCCATTGCTTCATGAGAAATATATGGTCGAACAAGACCATCACGACCAACATGCCGTGGATAACGAACACGACGTATAACTTCTTCTTGTTGAGCAGTTCTAAATAATTTCAATATAATAAAAATAAAATCAATTAATTAATTTATTCTTTACCGTTTTATTACATCTAATGAAGTACTTGCAAAATCAACAACTCCACCTGTTGGTCTTGTAGCAAGACCAATAAAACCTTTTCCTAAACCTTTAACAAATCCTGATGCACCACCTTCCTTAGCACCTGAAACTGGTTTTGTAACAACACCAGTTACACCATCAACAAAACCCTTTACAGAAAAAAACCAAACAATTAAAAAATCTAATCAAAAACATATTTTCTCATCATACCATAACAACATTTTTTCCTCCAACAGCAATATCAGTAGTTGCATGAGTTGCTGGTTCTTTTCGTCTTATACGTGAAATTTTATAATCATCATCAAATGTTAATGAAGCTAAACCATTTCCAAGTACACCAGTTATTTTTGAAAATGCACCAGCAGTACCACCAACAGCTGAACCAACTAATGTTCGAACACCTGTTGCTACACCTTCAGCAAATTCCATTGGGCCTTCAATTGCACCCTAAAAGATAAAAATCCATATTTATTTACACACATATATCATTTAATTTCTTACTTTATATGGTTCATAAAAAAATGATTCAACACCTTCAGCAAGACCACGAATAACACCAAATGGATTTCCAAGTACATCAAGACCAAGAACAAGTACATAAAGTTGTTTCATAAATTGATTTTGATAATGAGATGAAACTTCATTCGATAATTTTGTTATTGTATATCGATCATGTGTTCGTTCATAAAAACCCAAACTATATATAAGAAAAACAATATATACAAATGAACTTATTATTTTTCATTTCATAGATAAATCTTACCGTAAAATAACATCTTGAACTTCTGCAACATTTAATGTTTGTAATAAAAATGCAACTAATGGATATTCAGCTAATAATACTTGACTTGATTTTGATCCATGCATTGAAAAACTAACATGAATCTAAATGAGAGATATTGATTTTTTTAATTTTATAATAAATGATTTAAATATACTTTGAGTGGTGATAAATGTATATTATCAAAATACATTTCTGTTTCGCCTGTTGGACTATCAGTTAATGCTTTGATAATAGCATCAAGTGGTTTTTGTATTTGCTCTAAATCCGTATCCATATTTATTGTTGGTGCTGTTGCACTCTAATTTGAAACGAAAAAAAATATTTTCTATTATAAATAAAAAAGGAAAATTCAAATAACAAACTTTTTCTTCTCGTAAAAATGCTAAAATAGCCTCAATTAAACCTTGATCAATTTTAACAGCAAATTCTTGAATAAGTAATTTAAAATATTTAAATTGCATAACATTTGATCGACTTGTTTTCGATTCATAAACACTTAATTCAATAAATGATTGTTCTGCAAGATCAGTTCCTGTTTCTTTTGATATTATTGGATGAAGAACAACAGGAAACATTGTATAATCAAGCTGATTATCAATTTGTACACGATTTATTTTTATATGTAATGCAGCATTTGTAACTGACCATGCATATTCAATCCAAAGACCATCTAATGCTTGTCGTTTAGCTATTTGTCTTTGACCTTTAGAATTAACTAATTCTGCTGAATCACCATGAAATGATATTTCAGGAAATTGTTCCATAAGATATTTTTTTTTCAAAAGTTCTTTATCGTCCGGATTAGCTTCACGTTGTTCAAGATGAGTTCTATAGAGTTCTTCTAAATGTATATTTATACCATGTGAAAATGGTCGAACACGTGATTTTCTTGTTTCTGTCCAAACAACTTTAGATTTATTTAAACTTATATAAAGCATTTCTTCTCGTGTTATATCATTTACAATTGATAAACCAATATCATGAATACCAACTTGAACACGTTGACCCATTGATTCTGCTAATGATGGCATCTTAATTAATTGATCAAAAATCAAATAAATTAATTTATATTAAAAATCAAATACTTACTCCAGAAGTAGCTTCAATGACTTTGGTATCATCTGAAAAAAGTAATACAGTTTGAACACCATCAACAAATGTTGTATAGCTAACATTATGATCACCATCTTGTCCAAGAAAACCACACCGAGGCTAAAAGATTAGTTTTATGTTAATTAAACAATCATTACTAAAGGAAAAAGTATTTTTATTTTTGTACAAAACAGATAGAAAAGATCGATATTAATTTGAATAAACGGAAGACAGAGTGAGCATGCTGATAAAATCTTTTTTTTAATATTTATTTTTCATTTTCTAGGAATTAATCAAATTAAATAAAGAAAATATCAATGATACATTGTTCGAATTAACAATGCGATTGTATCAAAATTCGAACACAGTGCTTATGTAATGGTCAGAGCGATTGTATTAAACTCATGAATAAAATAGTTATTAATAAAATCACATGATTCATGAAGATTATCGAATTGATTTTATAAAATATTCATTAAAAGAATTTTTCTTACAGTTAATTCCACAGTTTTTTTCTTTGAACCACATGAGATAACTAATTCTCTTGGTTTTAATGGATCTGACCATGTATAATAAACATAATTCAGTGGTGTTAAAACTTGTGCACGCCTAATATATTCAAAAAAACATGATGAAATATTATTTACAAAAAAAGATTTTAATAACTTACACATTATCAACTTGATAAAATGATATTGGATCTTTTTTCAAGCAATTGACAAGAAGAAGTGGTGCATCACCAATTTTATAATCACCAAAAATAACTCGAACACCATCAAAATCAGTTGCTGTGACTTCAACATATATTGCTGGACGTTCTTCATCATCCATACGTAAAAGTGTTCGATGTTTTTGATTCATCATAAATGGACTTGATGTAACACGATTATGTGTATATCGAACACGCATTACACCCTTTTTTATATCATATGGCCAAAATGGAATTATCTTAATAATATTCATACATAATAGGAAATTTATCAACAACAAAAATTAATGATTTACTTGTTCAGGATTAAGTGGTCGCCATTTATCTTGTTCTCTATGTGATACTGTGTCAATTACTTCAATTTCCATCTAAACAAATCATTTTTGTTTACGTAATGAACAAAAAAGAATGATTTCTAAACATACTGTAGATTTATTAATAATAACGACTGACGGTGATAATGTAACAATTTTTGTTAAACCAAATGAACATGTTGCAATATCCACACAAACCTGAAAAAGTAAAATATGAATAAAAATTGTTTTTGTTTATATTTCTATTTACCATATAAGTTCGATCATTTGGAACTTTACATGATGCCATACCAGTACTTTTAATAACATCAAGTGAAAATTTTTCAGACCAATTTGTTGCATTATCTCCTTGTTCGGTACTATAAAGACGAAGTTGTCCCTATTTAAAATAATGAAATATTTTTTCTGATTTTCTTTGATAAATGATAATTACTTTTTTGTTTGCATCACTTCCAAATTTATCTGGACAAACTAAAAATGGTGTTTGAGCAACTTCAATAAATGCACGATTATTTTCAATCTAAAAAAACCAATAAAAATCAAAGTTTTATATAAAATGTAAGGTGTATCTTACTTGAAATTCAAGTTGTAATTCAGTACGATTAAGAATCCAAAATGGTGAATAGAATAGTAAACGATATGATTCATGGAATGTATCAACACGTAATACCATTTTCTACATAGTTAAATTTTTATTCAATAGAATATTTAAATCTATTTTCTTACTAATATTTGTTGAGGATTATTAGAATTATGAAGTATAACAAGATGTTCATTATGATCACCTTTTCCTTCAACATTTAAATCAACTGGATCAGATGTCCATTTTATATTATTATATGATGGAATCTAAATAATCGAGATTAATTTGCAGAAAAAGAAGAAGAAAATCATATACAATAAATCTTAATTTAGATTGTTTATTGCCACATGTAATTAGATTTAAGTCACTTGGTTTTAAATCTATTCGTTCAGCATTCTAAAATACGAGAATAGATACATATTATTTTTCATAGAAATGTAACAATGATTATAAACTAGTATTATATCTTTAGGAAAATTAGGATGAAAACGAAATTCGATACACAGTGTGAGTATACATCGGAAATTTAACAAACAGTAGTCGGGCGAGATGCTTATAAGTTTTTAACTGAGATAGCTCGAGATAAATCAATTGCTAAAGAAGTTATAGAATGCAAATACTGATACTTTTGCGAACTTGTTTAACTGATAAATCTCTATAGTTTAATATTTCTATAATCCTATTTAAATAAATAAAATCTTTGAGTTACATCAATTGAACATTGAATATCGACTGGTAAAAGATTAGTTAAATGAAGAGCTGGATGAATATAAAGACTAAAGCTTGCATGATCAAGTTGATCGGTATTTTCTGAATAAGCATTTGTTACTTCTTTAAAAATCTATAGATTACAAATAGAAATACATAAACATATTTTTAAAAATTAAAAATCCATACAATAAAATTTGCTTCTTTTCCAGTTTTTAATTTTAATTTTCTTTCCGATAAAAATTCTTTTTCCCAATCAAATGAAAAAAAATCATAAATTTCACCATTATGTTCATTTCTATAATTAAATAAAATTAATATGAATTTATTTCTTTTTCCTCTTTTCAATCAATCTTACTCATCAGTAGAAATAAATATTGGTGAACTTGAATGTGTATAAAGTAAATCAATTGGTACATAATATTCACCATTAATATCAATTTTTGCCATTCGATGATATTTTTTTGGATCAACTGAATCAATATTTAAAATAATTAAAGGCATTGTTGTATTATTATAAACTTTAACAATTGAACTAAGAATAACACATCGACGATCATTTCGTAATTGTGTATCACAAAGCATTTGAACTGACCAATTTGGATTTGGTGATGGACCTAATTCATAAACACGTTTCCATGTTCGATTGATAGTAACAGTTTTAACAACATCTCCAATCTAAGAAAATTAAATAAATATAAGATTTCAGCATTCAAGATGCTGGAAAATAATCTTATTTCGATTGCAAAGAATAATAGAGTAGACGATTCTTCATAGAATTAGACAATTTAAAGCTCTATCATATTTACAGAAAGAATATTAAGTCTATACTTTTAATTATTTAGAGATTCACTTCACAAGTATCTACTAATAATTTCATCAAGCTATTTGAATTGAAAATACGCATAGATTTTTTTAAAACTTTATTTACTTTAACGCCAAATTCTTGTCGTCGTTTAGAATCTTGTTCTTCAATAACAGAAAGTCTTGCTGCTGATTGACGATCATTTGCTACAAGCAATGGAACGAAACCATCTGGTCTTAAAGCTATTGATGTGAGTGTCACGTTCTCAGCAAACTTTAACAAAAATCAATGAAAATAATGTTTTATTTTTTTTCTTCATTTTTAAAAAATTTACTTCAAGACCATCTAAATTATCAATGAATATGTCTCGTCCAGTTCTATTAAATAATGATAACATTGGTTGATCATTATCTTCAGTAAATGGTAATCGTTTATTATAAACATCATTGAATAAAACTGATAAACGTTGAACTAAATCAAAACCTGTTTTTGTTATTGTTAAATTGAGTAATTGATCGGCATGTATGAATACAATTTGCTTATAATTTATTGATGGTACACCCTCTTTTCGTTCTTGTTCATTTGATACTGCCGATCTACTTTTTTCAGTTAATGGCAATACCTTAAATATATAACAAGTTTATTTTTATTCAATGATTAGTTGATTAGATATATATTAGTTAGTGTTAGTTTGGTATCTATCACCAAATACAACGATAACATACATTATAGAGACTTTTTACCTGCTTTGTTTCTTCATCCTTTTGCTTACAAATTAAAACGAATATCGATAATCAAAATTTGAATCTATTAATTAAGTCAAGTTCTTTGTGTGAAGTAAACTTATATTAAAATATAACTGTCTAGGGCGTGTGCTATAAGACTCTCTAGTGAGACAAGATTATTTCTCCAATGACATTTATATATATATACAGTATCGTTTCCATAATACTCATAGAAGATAATTCATTCGAAAGACTTACAGGTACAATTGAACATGTGATACACCAAGGTGAAAGAATAGATCCACTTGCATCAATTGTTGGTTCAATGAGTGGTTCCCAAGCAAGCATCCGTTCATTAAATAATGCAGCTTCAATACTAACAGTTGACGAAAGACTTAACTAAAATTTCGATAAAAGAAAACGAACTAGAAAAGAAAATTCTATTAATCACATACATCTGTTGTCCAATTTTTAACATCAGCTGTTAAATTTGATAAACACATTGCAACAACAGATTTTGTTACTAAACCTAAACCAACTTCCAATTTAATTTGAATTGTCTCCAGTGTTAAAATTAACTAAATGAAAAAAATGACAAAAATAAATTTCCTTTTATATTAAAAAAATTTGCTACCTGTTGTATTAAAACGGTTTGTGCTTCAATTTTTTCTTCTTTTTCTATCATTTTATCTTCTTCTTCTTCTTTAACAGTTTCTAATATATCAGTTGATTCAACTTTAGCTTGTTTTTCTTCGTATTCTATAATTAAAATAAATTTTAATAAATCAATTCATATAAACAATGATTCAATAAAAACCTTTTATATACCAAAGACCTGAATCTTTAAATGTTTTTGGAGTAAATAATGATTTTGAATTAACCTTTTCTTTTTCTTCTTCAACATCTGTCTAATAAAAATAAAATATAAATATAAATATAAATAATATTCTTTTGATTTATTTACCGGAAGTGTTCCTAATGAACTTGTAACACTAATCAATGTTTTAACTGCTGCTGGTGCAATACTAACAATAATATCGGATATTCGTATATCAATTTTTTGTTGGTAATTATCCATAATTACAATAACACCAGCTTTGGCTGATTGTAAAATCTTATTGAATAAGAAGAAAAAAGAAAACAACGATAAGATTAAATAAAATATTTTCTTATTTTATTTACGCGATATTTTGTTTTTGAACCAGCATTTTTTGAATCTCTTAATTCTGCAAAATTTGAACTGTAAACTGTTAAATCTTTTAACCAAATATCTAATTTCGAATCTACACCAATACTAATCATACGCATTTGTAAGGCTAACTGTAAAAAACAGAATACAATTTCTTCTTTTTTTGTTTTTATTCAATTTATAAACATACGTCAAGTACAAGACAAGTCGAATTTGAATTATGTTGATCTTCAAGTAAAATAATTTCGGGATTTTTTACAATCACATCAATTCGTGTTTCGATCTCTGAATCAGCATTAGATGAACTTGGTGGTTCAGGTGCAGAAACTAAAACGAAAAAATTAGTATTTATATAAAAAATCAAAGGAAAAACAAAATACGTTTTGATGATAGTGTTGGAAGTTTTTGTGCTGTAATTGAAGGTCGACTTAGTCTTGGATCTACTTTCAATCGATTATTATCATTATCAGTTTTAGTTGAAATTTCTTTTTCAGATGCCATTGCGGATGTACGAGATCTTGTTTTTGTACTACCAGTTGGTAAACCATATATAAAAAAATCTTGTAATGCCATTAAATAATCCAGATTGATACATATGTAAAAACTTTCAAGTTGAGCACTTACTAATAATTTTAAAAATACAAAATAAGAAAAAAAAATTTTATTTTTATTTATTTACATTGTTTAAGTGCCGTTGAATTTGTTGGAGTTTTTGGTTTAAATTCAGATGATGCAATAACCATTTGAGCATTTGGATCAACTGTAAAATGTCTATCCATCATACGTGTTACACTTGTTGCTTTATTTGTTTCACGTAAATCATCAACTAGAAAATTTTTAACACGTACCATTGCTTTATAACTTAAATCCGTTTGTTGACGAAATAATACTTCTATTAATTGTATTTGAACGTTAGCTAATTTATAAGTTTCATCACGTGGTGCACGACGAACCGTCTAAGAAAATATTTAAACTTATAACTTTCGAATCTCGTTATAATCAAGAGATGAAATCTAAAGGTTTATAAACAATCATGAATATTTCTCTTACCAAATTTGATTCTCCCAAATAAAGTGTCAAAGCTAATTTCTTAATTTCTGCTCGAATTTTAACTGTTTGTAAAACTTCACCACCATGAGCATCTAGAAAAAGGGAAATATTGTTTTTTTTCAATCAATATATTTTATGTCAAACCTTGTTGTCTTTTAATTACAGCATTTCTTAAAGCTTCTTCTTCTTTTTCTTGTTCTTCTTGTCTATAATGATATTGTTCAAGTTGTGCAGTTTCAGGTATTTGATCACGAATATTTTCTGTAAAATTTTCCATTAAGACTTTCATAACACATGAATAATCACCTTTAGCTAATCGAAACTATTAGAAAAAAATTTTCAATTTATATTTAAAAAAATTAAAATCATAAAAACATACATGAACTAAGTCCCATTCAACTTTAACTGAAACTCCTGGTTCATTTTTAACTTTTTCAGGATACATTAAACGATTAATTAATGTATTTAATTCCGCACATTCAAGTAAATTAATTTCACCAAGAATATTATTATCATGATTAAGTTTAACACGACTAATAAGAACATTTTCTAATCGAATATTTTGTTGTTCAACAAGCGAACGTTTTGGATCATCATAAAAACGTGTTAATAATGTTAATTTACCCAAATCAAATAATAAAGCTTCATCAGAATATGAATTTGTTGGAATAATTATATTTGGAGCATTAAATGTTATATCAAGATGAACTTTAAATGCTTGTTCTTGTAATTTTTGTACTTGTTCATAGGCAACATCTGCTTGTGTTGATGCTAAACCAAGTGCTGCTTTAGTTATATTTAGTGTATGAAGAAAACCCTTTAGAAAAATGAAATAAAATAGAAAGTATACGACGATGTTGTTTTTGAAAATTACTTACTAAAAGTGCATTGATATGTTTGAAGAGAATCACAATATTGGCTTTAGCAAATTCAACTTCCACAGCGCAGTCATAAACGTTAATAGGTCTTTTATATCCCACTGGATGATTGAACAAGTATAAATCAACACGAAGTAATTCCTTATCATCACCTTGTTGAGAAATAATCTTGAGAAATAAAAAAAGCACATTTAAAATAACAAGTTATCATTTTTATCATACTTTTCGATGTCGTGCTCCTTCATACGGATCAAAAACGCGTAGATCTGATAGAATTAAATTAACTAATGTCTTTTCTGATGATTTTGATACATTAGCTTTGATACCTAAATTAAAGTGAAATATTCAAGTTAGGTTTAAAGAAAGTATGCTTTTTTAAACCTTGAACTTGAATGTCAAATAATCGTGCTTGTTTTGATGCAAGAATTATTCGAAATTCTTCTAGATCAGCATTTATTTTAAGTGAAGTTGTTGCTGGAGTATCTAAACAATGATTATTAAGTCAATAAATACAAGGAGTTTGGGTTGTTTAACTCGAAAAAAATAGGTGCTGAATCAATTCCTTGCGAATGTATTATATACTAAGCTGAATAGAATAATTAAAATACGGTATTTACAATAATTGCATTACGTATGCCAGACGAAAAATCAATATTCTCATAGTATTTTCAAGAAGTAGAAAGATCTGATTAGTTTGAAAACTAAGTATTTGATAATTCAAAATAGTAGCTAGAGTTAATGTGAAGAACACAAGTTTAAAAAAGTAGCTTTTGGAAAACTCGATCAGGCAATAAATGACAGGTGAACGATTATCATAAAGTTAATCTGATCGAATATTTATTTTTAATGGCTACTAATGTGGTTTTGTAAAATACAATCAGAATAAAAAAAAGTTATTGATCTAACACAGACAGGATTTTACTGTGTCCGAAATTTTTAAGAAGTTCCACATTATTGTCAATCAAGTAGAGCAATAGTTTTTAATAAAATTTTTTTCTTAAGTTGTTCGCATTTAGCGAAATAGTTATTCAAATAGTATTTTTCGTAGAAGATAAACATATGAAGGTTTTTAACTTACATAGAAAATATCGACATTGTTTTATTAATATTGTAAAGATTGTCAAAAATCTCAGAAATAGATAAATAATTCGATTCATTTTCGCTCTCTATTAGCCAATTTTTTTGTTAATTTTCTGTCTCTTTGTAGTTTTAAATTTTTCGAACCAATAAACTTTATATATATGAAAAAATGCTGTAAATCTTTTTCTCTATATTGAATCAAAATAATATTTTCTTGTTTCATCACTTTTATCTTAATAACAAAAATCTTACCATTTTTCTTAACAGGCTTTTCTGTTTTATCATTATTTTCAATATATCTTCCTTCTTCCTTTGGTGGCTCTTTTATTTGATTGTCTGTTATATCCTTCGGTAATTTTTTCATTAATGAATCTTGAAATTTGAATATGGATAAAAGTACTTCTAATTGTAATGTGACAACAAGTTTACTAAAATGAACATCCGCTTTATTCTCAATTTCATTATAAGTTGAAGATGAAAATAACGGATTTTTTTGTGAAGTATGTAGAAATTTTAAACTAACTAATTTCTGTTTTTCCGTTGTATTTTGTTTATCTAATTGAGCTGATAATAAACGTAATGGTTGATTATCTTTACCAATAAATTGTTGATGATAAACAATGAAATTAGCTAATGATGCATTAAGTTCCATATCAAATGTTTTTATTTTTGTATTAGCATTTATAGATTCAAGTGTTAAACAAAGAAATGGTTCATCATTATCCTTATCATTAATCTCATTTGCAGCTTTATCAATATGCAAATCAATCTTTACACAAAACAAAAAAAGATTATTGTAATAATTAAATAACATCGATCTTCTTTTACTTTATCAAGTGTAAACATAGCTTCTAATTGTGTTAATTGTCCTTTAAATTCCTTTTTCTTTTTTTCTTTAGTTTTTTTTACGGATGTTATTCCTTCAACTGCCTCTAATGTTTCTTCCATATCGATAACTAACGATTGTGCAGGTACTGACTGAAATTCATAAAATATTGATTTCTAAACTAAAATTTATATTGAACAAACTTCGACATCGACTGGTGCTTGGGCAATTGCGTTAGTTTTCGATTTCGGAAATGGAATTGATTGAATATGCTGCATTATTCGAAATAAGCGTGTATCTGATAAACGTAAATCTACACTAGGAATATTTCCAGCAACTTTCCAACTAATAGTAACAAGAGAATATTAATTAGAAATTTTATCTAGAAAAAAGAAGACTTACGCAGGTAACACAGCATCATCATTATAAATACATTTATCAACATCTAATTCAAGTTCCATTGGTTGAATCAAATGTATACGTGTATTTTTTTCTTTACGAGCACTTTCCCAACTTTCATCTTAAATACTCAAACAAAAAATACTCAATATTATCAATTGATTTAATTTAAATATTATTTTACTTCGATTTGCGTAAATTAATTGAATATCTTCAAGTTTCAATTTAAATTGTGTATATGATTTTTCTCGAGCATCTTTAATATCCTATAATAGATAAAAAAGATAAGCATTTCAGATAAATATTTTAATACGTACTTTTGCTTTTTTAGCTGGAACGAATTCTTCTCCATTATCATTTGATTTTGTTCCTCGTTTTAATGTCAAATGACCTAAATCCATACATATTGTTGCAGCATTACTAAAATGAATACAATTGTTTCATGGACAGAAAGAAAAAGGAAATTCATTCTTTTACTCTTGGTAAACTCCATTTGCTGGTAAAAGAAAATAAGATGATTGAATATCAATATAAATATCTAAAACTTTGATTTTTTCGATATTATGTTTCATTAATATATATGAACGATGTTTAACATCTGCATAAGTTGAATATGCGACTTGTTTAACACTAAATTAAAAACAAAATACGAATTGAATATAAAATTTCTTAAAAATTATTTTTTTCATACCCTTGTAAATTTCGATAAGCATTGGATTCAAAACATGCTACTAATTTATTAATTGTTGGCTAAACAAATTAGAAGTTTTTTTTTTATTTTAAATAGAAATTTTATTCTTACAGCATTATATTTTATTTCTAATGATTGTGAAACAACTTTAACACGATAATCAGATTTTTTATCTAATGGATTTGTTTCAAATTCTACTTGTAAGAATTTTTGTTGATTAGTTAATGATAATGCTGATGGACGTACAAGTACAGGTCGACTATCGTTTAATAATTCGGATTGACTGGAATTTGTTGCAATACCAAATACTTGAAATGAGCCCAAATCAACATATATACTATACAATAAGAATAATAATCAAAGTTTGGACGCTGGCATAAATAAACAAAGAACATACGCAAGAGCATCGGTAGCTGGTCTTCGTTTGAATATTAAACTCGTATCAGGTATAACACCACGAGCAATAACTCGAAATCTATAATAAATAATATAATAATTCGAATAGAATTTTATAGATAATCATACTGAGTATCGTGTTCGTTAATTTTAGACCAAATGTTAACATCAAGCATATTTAATCGAATTGCTAAATCAATATCAACATACTAAAAACATGTAGAATAATTATAAATAAAGAATTTTGATTTATTTATAAAACAAACTTCTTCTGGATAAGTTGACGTTGAAGTATCTTCTCCTTCATAACCAATAGCGTTATATAATTTTTTCTTCTCTTCTAGTGACATATCTTTTTCTAAATTAAGTTCTGAATAAATACAAATCGAAAGGGATCATATTAATTAAAGAAATATATATGAAGATAAAAAAAACCTGAATGATCTTTTGGTTGATTTCTGCTCCACCATTTTGATACATTTCTCTGCCAAGTTTTAGGTTCTTGTTCTTCCTTTTTTCGAGCTTCAATTTCGACACTTCGACGAATATATGTTAAATTAAAAACATTAAGTTTTTTTTCTAATTCCTTGATTAAAATAAAAATAATCAAAATGTTTTAGATTTAGATTTAATAATAAAATTTTCTTACTTCAGCACGAGTTTTTTGTTCCTGGGTTAGTTTCCCTATTAGTTTTTGATAATGTAATGTACGATATTCTCTGCAACGTTTTAAATGTGCTTTTATATTTTCCCATTTATAACAATCAAATCTTGGTCGAATTTCTTCATTAACAATTGCTTCATAAGCAAATTTCCAACTGAATATGGAAATAAAGTTTTCTTCAAATAAATCAAAGTAAAATTATTTTTTACTTTCTTAATGTTTTCTTTTCTACTAATTCTTTTTTCACATGATATTTTATATATTTGGATTGAACACTAAGATAACCTAGAAATTCAAGAAGATCAAGTAAATCCGAATACTAGAAAAAAATTTCAATAAGAATTTATGTTGCTTTTCTGTTAAAGACTTTTTACTTGATCACGATTCATATTAAGACTGATTTCATCTAAATCAACTTTAATATCAAACATAGGTCGTTTAAAATCTTCTTCACGTGGTTTCATTGCTAATACAAGTCGTGCTTTCACATTAAGTGGACGAAGAACTAAAATTATATTCTATTGGATGATAACATATTAAAATAAAATCATACTGTATGAGATATCAGATGGTGCGTGTTGATTATCAATAGCTATTTTTTCTTTTAAACTATTCTATAGTTTAAAAATACAAAGAGAAATATAAACGAAATATAAATAAATGAACTTACGATAGCATCATCTCTTGCTAAATCTGTTCGAGATTTAGCATTTGTATTCCAATAAATTGATAAAGCACTTAATTCACCAAGCTAAACATAATTATTCGTTTTTATTATCATATATTTAAATAACTTTAATTTAATACAGTGATCGGCAGACTTATCTCTATATGAAATATGATATATTATATTAATCCTTTCAGTCTCATAGTCGAAAAAAAGAGCTACATAGATTTTACGCTTTCCTTATCATTCAGAAGAAATAATCTTTTCTTCTTTCTGTCTTGCATATGAATTCAACGCACGAACATTTTATGATTCATCAAAATTTGTGAGAATAAAAGATTTTTGATTAATATCTTACTTTATGAATCAATGATGTATCTTCTTTGAGTATAGCCGATTCCCAGTCTGGTGTTGTTGTCTTTAAAATGAAATTCAATATATACATGAAATAAAATCAATAAATATAATGTATGTATATTACATGAAGTGATATATAATTAAGAGTTATTCCAAATGAAAATGGATGATTTGGTTTAGTTGATTTATCTTCATAAACAATATGAATATTTCGAATTGATAATTCCAAATTTCGAATAATTTGAAGTTGCATACGTTCAAGTAAAGTATCGTTATTTTTATCATTTCCTTTCGCATTTTCTATTTATATATTCAATTAAATGAATAATTTTAATTTATTTTTATATTACTTTCAACTTCTTTTTCTTTTCGAAGTTTTTCAACTTTTCGAACTTCTTTCATTTTAGCTTCATGTTTTTCTTTTGCATCTCTTTGAGCATCATATTCGACTTCTAAAAATATTTAATCGACATGTAAATATACTAAAAGATAACAAATCAACGAACCAGTTTTTGGTATAACTAGTACAAAAAGTCCATCGATTGTTACTTTTGTTGAATGTGTATATAAATTTGTCCATGGAATTTGAAGTGTTAATTTTTCTAAAGAAGAATATTAATTATTTTTTTGAATAAAATTACATAAGATAATACATACGTAAATATCCAGTTGATATAGTGACAGGAAGATTTAAATCCGCCTAGAAATTAAAATAAAAATATTATTTTTGAGTTTTAGTCAATACAATAAAATTACCAGTGCGTTGGATTTTAGATATAGATTTTCAAGAACAACATTTCCTATGGATAATTAATGATTTTAGTATGAAATCAAACGATGAAAATTTTCTCTGAGTATACTCACCATTCCATAAATCAATTTTTAGTTTTTTTGTATCTAGACTTTCGATATAATCACCCAAATATTTATCCAGTAGATAGACAACTAGATTTTCAAATACCATTTTAATTACGTTTAAAAAACAATTAAAATATTAATGAAAGACTATACAGGAAAGATAACAAATATTTATCTTAAACAAATGTGGTATATTTTATTTTTTACACAACTAATACAAATGTTCGATTTCGTTTTCTTTTTCTTTTTTTTTGTTTTAACTTGGTTACTTTACATAAAAAAAGGTAACCATCAGATGACTCATACTGAAAATATGTCACCTTCTATTGCTTTGCATATTTTCGCCAGTACGATAAAAATATTTCTTTTCAGTTGTGGAAGGTTAATTAACATTTATTTCCCATACTTTTCCTTTATTTATTTATTTAAAAAACAAGTTAGCTTTCGAAATGCACTGCATTTCTCCCAGAGATGTCCATCGCGGTTGAGAATGTGCCGCTGCCGCACCGCGACGGTTTTCAAAAAAAGCAACCGCGCCGCGACGATAGTAAAAAATAGCTACTGCGCCGCTACCGCAATGGTACCTTTTAAAATCTCTGGTTTTTCAAGACTCTTACACATTTAAACCGAAGCTGCTGTCACTAATCGGTTAAGCTCATCAAGTCTTTCAGCGCAGTACCCACCAAAATCGAAATTATGTCTAAATTCATGAGTTTTGAAAATTTGTTTTTTGTAGCAGCGGCAGCTACGCCATGGACATCAGAGGTGTGCGGATCACGGATTTTGACCGTCGGGGACCACGTGGCGACGGGCGGACGGGGACAGTTTTTTTTGAAAAAATTGCTCGGGTCGGGCGAGGCACGGGTGTTATAAGCTGGTGGGCGGGTCGGACGGGTACAAAAAAAAATAAAATAGTACGATCCTCGGGCGGACGAGGATAGTTTTTCACGGGTTACGGGAGGGTAAAAAATTTTTGGAAGTTCGATAGAGGACCGTTGAGAACAATTGGTAGGCTAGGCATCGTTATATTACACTTGTGATAAGAAATAAATCGATTACTTGATTATTCTACACCTATCATCGTGAGGGTAACTAAAGAATCCACATTTTTTGGCAAGAGCTAAAAAGTGTAATACCTAATTTGTCAAACTAGCAAAAAAAGTTATTCTAAATTTCAGTTTCAGCAGCAGCAGCAGTTGAACGTCCATTTAATTCAGCTGGTGTTATTATATCTCAAAGGATAAGTAACATAAATCCATCTTTAGTCAACGATATGATTTTGGCTCGATAGGATCACTAAATTTAGGCCCACAGATTTTTTGTCTCGGGCATTCGGTCAAGCCAGAAATTCCAAAATGTTTAGAACCGACCCCAAAGTCAGAATAAATTTTCTGTATCCTTAATTAATTACTTAATTTTTATTATCAAGTAATAACCTTCAAAGTGCTCAAGATCATGCATTTTTTGAGATCGCAATGATCAGTAGAACGGCATAATACTCAGCACTGCTGTCCTGCTGTTCACTACGATTTCTAAAAGTGCATGGTTCTGTGCATTATGAAGTTTATTAATTAATAATAAGGTTGATTAGTTATGTTAATGTTCTGTTCGAAAGGCCTAACTGGCCGTAGAACAATAGCTCAAAAAATTTCTGAATTTCGAGCCTAACTGAAATTAATATAACCCTGTTCTTTCTGATGCTTTTTATTTAAACGCCCAGCATGCACAATGTGTAATATTTTTTCTTGTAATAAATCTCGTTAAATGATAAATAAATTAAATATATAAAATAAACAATTTATGAAACTTTAATTATTAATTGAAATATTCTCGGGGTAACACGGGCGGGGCGAAGCTCCGTCAGAAAATTGACGGGGCAGGCGGGTTAGGAAAAAAAGTAAACTGCAAGGGGGACGGGCTGCGCGGGTTTTAAAATTTGACGGGACGGACGAAGCGGGGAAGAGTTATAGGAATTTATCCACGGTGGCGGACGGGATGGATTTAACATACTACACGGGGCGGGGCCCGCGGGGCATCAAAAATCACTGCTCCGCACACCTCTGATGAACATCTTTGATTTCTTCAATCAGACATTTTTTGAATGCACATAATATTTTACACATATTTATATATACATTTTATAAGGAGATATCATCTTTCTTCTTTTCTTCGTACCATAGGTGGAACCAGTACAAAAAGCTCAGACTAGACCGGATCAGACCGGAGGTGTGGGTGTGTGTTTGGATCTGGATGCCGATGTGGATGTGGGTGGATGGGTGGGTGGGTGTGTGTTTGAGTCTGGATGTGGACGTAGGTAGGTGTATGTTTGGGTCTGGATGTGGATGTGGGCGAGTGTGTGTTTGGGCCTGGATGTGGATGTGGGTGGGTGTGGGCGTGTGTTTGGGTCTGGATGTGAATATGGGTGGGTGTAGGTGTGGGTGTGGATATTAGATCAAGATAGTATCTACACTCACACCACACCCAGATACATAATCAATTCATTTTCCCATTTAAAGGTGTGAGTGTACCCACACCCACCCGCACTCGCTAACCCTTAAACCCTCGTCATCAGAACGATCGACGAGATTCTAGATGTAAATATTAGGCGACCAATTAGAGCTAAGCAGTCGTCGTGCCTTTTTATTTTGTTTGATTCATATAGATCAGATAGAAAAACGCCCCATTCATATCTCTCTTGAATTCTATATGTACTGAAAAAGTTTGATTAATTTGTAATAGACAATCGTGTCTCATTGGCGACCGCAAGATTCATGATATTTGTCGTGCCAGTCCATTCAGATATATCAATACTGGATATTTCTTTAAGACTGTTGATCATCGCCGTAGTGGATTCAATTGTCCGAGTGCAAGCATCTCGATTGACTCGACGCTGTCGTTCGGACTCTAGACACCCCTGAATATTTTTCAGATGTTGTGACACAGCAACAGCTTTTTCTTCGGCATCTGTCATATAACCGATGAAATACATATTTGCTGCGTTGAGCCGAACGAGACTTTCGAATATCTTTCCCAAATACATCAATGCATTGTGTTGATGTCGAGCCCAAAATGTTTTTACTAGAGTTACAACGGTGATAGCGCCAATTCCACCTAACAAAGATGCACTAATGATCGCAGCTACTGGAGGAAAAGCTGTTCCGGCCACTATTAACGCCCCAAAACCACCCATTGCTTCCGATACAAGCAATCCTCCAGCTGCAAGTGCCCCTGAGACAGCACCTGCTGGTTTAGCGTTGTTGAAACAGAATTCAGCCACATCTAGTCGCCCTTGGACAACGAATTTCTTCGACTGAACTGAATTGGTCATTGTGTGTATTCGTTCGTCCAGTTTTTGACTGTCAGCTTTGGATGATTTGGCTAATTGAAGTAGCTTCTCAATTCCGTCCGACATTCGATCTAGTGCAAGTGTAATATCATTTTTATCCGTTTCGTTTAGTTTCTGACTCGGATCAGTGTTCATCACGTCTTCAACAACAGACAGTTGGCTTCCTGCAGCTGAGAGCAAAGGAAGCATCATGTTTACATTGTGCTTGACTTGCATGACCAACTGAATAAAACAATGAATCAGATCACGAAGTTCGTTAGCTATATCACTGTATTGTTTAACTTCTTTTATCATACTTTCCAATAGCTTTTTAATGCTTTCGACCAATTCGGGAACTTTATTTAGTTTAGCCGCTAACGGTAACGAAGAAAAATTTGTTGCAATGGATAGAAATGTTCGAAAACGTTGCGTCTCTTCGTCATGAGCATCGACATCCATTGGTACCTGTAATACTGCTTCGGCCACTTCAGCTGCATCAAACTTTTCCCAGTTATCGCGTCGTAAAATATCTTTACTGTAGTCTTCAACGTAATTGTTAATTGCATCCGTTTGCATTTGTTGTTTCTCTATTTGTTCCTGGAGAAATGCTACGTCTATGCCAGACATTACTTGAGAACTGTTCTATATGAGAAAAGAATTAAACAAAAATTAACTACTAGGCATGGCTTTTGTATCGTATGTTCTATATATTAGAGAATTCAGTGAAAACTAAAACTCACAACGCATGTCTTATTCAGTACACGAATATTACCTCTCTAAACAACGATACGTAAAAATTCAAATCCAAATTCAAATCAAAGGAATTGAAGAGAAAAAAAATAAGAGAAAGATTCGAGCTGCAAAAAGAAGTAATATTAATAATACCGCTACTCATGAGGGAACGTTTCCAACTGTCCAATCGCTTTTTGATAAAAACCATCGAGATAGAGATTATCAACCGTGCTGATTCTGAATATGAGCATGATAAATGCGCTTAGGCTTTTTTGTGGAGTGTGGATGAAAGAAAATCGATTTTCTGGGTGAAAAGTTTTTTTGCCATATCGATGTCTGGCTAGATTTAAATGATAAAGCATGTTGATTTATTTATGAGACAATATTTTTTTTTCAATTTTAAAATCGAATTTTCATGAAAATGTAATCCTTTTACTTCATGGGATGTGTGAACCTATAATAGGGAAATGGAGTTTTAAGATATAAATTGGGTGTGGGTGTGGATGTGAATGCGGCTGTGTTCTTATTATTTTCTACAACCGCACCGACATCTACAGGCAAAACTATCTCCAAGAAGACAAATGGGAGAGAGGCGACTTCAGACTGTTCACTGTGGGTGTCATGGTGGATATGGAGTCGGTTGAATACGAATGATAATGGTAAGATTTGGATTCAGTGAGAGTTCACGTACAAACCTTCAATCCCAGCCGCTGCTACGATTATCAGTTAAAGGACACGAATACTCACAACCTCACTCTCTGTTACTTTTTACATAGTAAATTGTTTTGCGTTGTTTATTCTAAATTGTGTACAGTTGCTATTTGCAACCTTCAACAGAATTAAAAATCGAAAGTAGTCAGGAGAACAGAAAGAAACGCGAGTGGCGAAATAATAAATTTAAAATGTGCCTCGTCACTGTGATGCAAGGGTAGCAAACGGATCACTGAAAAAAATTACCTCTCTGACAAAAGCAGAAATAGTCCAAGCTTGAAAAAAAAAGCATCGCAATTCATTCGGTAAAGTTGATTTTCGATATTCGATTGTGATGACTTGCTTATTGGAAACACTGAAGAGGTTTGATACAGTATTCCACATATTGTAAAGAAAACGACGATATAACGCAGAAATAGGACTCGTATTGGTTACTGGGAACCGGACTACCAACGGTTTTTTCCCTGTTTTATCGCATAAAACTGGTCACGCTTCTGGATCTCAATAGAGTTTTATACACAACATAGAAGAGAATTTCGATGAAAGTCGACTATCTCAATTATTCGTATCCCAGGTCGAAAAGGGTATGGGGGTGGGTGTGAGTGAGCGCGAGTGTGGGTGAGTGTGAGTGTAGGTGTAGATTTGCAGATGTTGGCATGCGATGTGTATAAAGAGAAGATAGGTAACCACACCCCAGAGCTGAGCAAAGTACTCGAAGTACTCGTACTCGAGGGGTTAGTACTCGTACTCGGACGGCTTCGTACTCGTACACGTACTCGAACGGATTATTTTTCGTACTCGAAGATATGATCTTGGAGTTTTTGATTATGTCTCATGAAAAATTACTATATGATTATGTGCTGCAAGGATGACATGAATTCTCGACGTCTTTTTGTTTCGACTGTTTACATATAGCTTTTTTCCTCTATCAACTATGGCAGAATCCCTTAGTCACTCTCGATATAACAGTACTTGTGTTGGTACTCGAGTACGGTGGGAAAGTAACGATTCGTAACGATTGGTTACGAAAGCCCAGTTCGGACCAGGGCTTTCGTAACAATTCATGACATAGCTTTCGTATCGTTTTTGGCAAGGCTTTCGTATCACTTTTTAACAGTTTTCATATCAAGTTTACAGGGCTTTCGTAACAATTTAGACATAGCTTTCGTAACAACTTTGACAGGATCTTCGTATCGTTCTTACAGGGCTATCGTAACGTATAAGAATTTAATATGATATCTAGTCCGATGTTACTGATATGATTTCACATGGAATGTAGAGATCTACTAGAATTATAATGTATGGAATTCAAAAGTAGGAAGAGAGAACGAGAACATAAATATGGACAAATATTTATCTTTTTTAAATCTGTTTTTTATTAGCACAACAAGTAACAACAATCAGGTAATACACTATACAAATAACAAGGACATCTACGAATATACACAAATAATTTATTCATAGTATAGTACCATGTATTTGGATTATTTAAGTATATAAAATTTGTTATGAATAGATCTTACTTAATGATTTAAGCGATATTTGTAAACATGAGTATTCGTAACGAATGTCCTGTTATTTTTAGTATCAGTCTCTCATTTCAGTTATGAATGCAATAAAAACTTGCTTACGAAAGCTATGTCAAAATTGTTACGAAAGCCCTGTCAAAACACGTAACGAAAGCTATGTCAAAATTCGTTACGAAAGCTCTGTAAAAAAATGATAGCAGGGCCTTCGCATTACGAAAGCCCGGGAAATTTCTCGTTACGAATCGTTACACCCCCAGTACGGTTTTGTTGTACTCGTACTCGACAAAGTCCGTACTTTCCCGGCTCTGCCACACCCACACTCTCAAGGACTTGTGAATGCAAACATGGCATTATTTGCTTGTTGTGGCATGAGCAGGATTAGATATGCAGTTGTACGATCCTAAAAGGTTTTAGGAGTTGTCCGGGATTGTGTCATTTTAAATGAATTATTTATTTTCGTATAATCATGGTTTGGGCTGATCCGAAACATATCCCAGTTTGGTTATGCTATTAAACTTGCTGAATACACTCTGGAAAGAGGATCCGTTTTTTTCATAGCATCAATTTTTCTGATTGTTCAGAAATATTAAGTTTGCTTTACACAGGTTATTTTGAAAGTGTAAGTATTCTCAAGTATGTGGCATCACAGCTCTTTAAACTCCTTGAATTAGGTCAGTTTTTGCGAAAAATGAGATATACGGTTGCGCCTGATCGTTTATTTCTCTATTTACAAATGAATCATGCTCGATTAAGATTTTATGATCAGTAGATCCTACTCAGCTTCCCTTTCTTAATACATAGTGAAAATCAAAACTATTTTTAATGGTAATCATAGGAAATTTTCTTTCAAAAAAGGGTCAGCGAATCCGTCGGATGAGCGCTACTTGTATATATTAACAAATGCTTCTTATATGATTTATGGTATTATGAGTACCATATATATCTATTAATTCACAAAATGTTCTCAATTTATTTGAATTAGCAGTTAGACCATTAATCTTCAAATGAACATCATAACTGATCTTATATTGATTAGTGTAAAACCAATTGTCTTCACATTTTTCGACTACTTCCACACTAAAATCAGCATTCATATTCGATACCTGGATAGTGTCTTGCTATCTTTTATATTTTTGATTAAAGCTAAATGTTGCCGACTTTATATATCCTCGTTGAGCCCATGTCGGTTGAAGTTTTAAATGTTGATTGCAAATATCTTTCGTTAGGTCATACGCACCTATACAATTAATTTGTCTCTTGTTAAATATATTTTTAATAGAATAATATAAATCATTCCGGAAATAATTCCAATCTTTATTCCATTCACTTCCGATTGATTTTTCATTCACTTCAATAGTATTGTTTAATGTTATTTTTTCGATAATTTTTTTTTCATTTAAAAATCGAATGAGATTGTTTGGGATTTCATTATAAATATGTATTAATTGCGTATGATATTGTTCTGGTACAATTGCAAGTAGATTTTGTTTTGTAAAGCCAACTAATGCCATGATGCTATTGATACAACAGGCTCGCCGTTCGTATATAATCTATAAATAAAGAAAAAAAAATAATGTTTGTTTTTTTTGTGATTTTTACGTCATTATGTCAATGACTGATATACAAAAGAAAGTAAAAAACGAGTTAACCGCCACTTAACGCTAACTTCTCCATACCATGATGCGCTATATCCATGTAATCCGCACTCTATGTCCTGTCTAAAAGTATCCTAAGGCCTGATATTACTGATCGTCCGCTGTTAAAAGACATTTTTAGTTAGAATTCTATTTAAATAAGTTGCACAAAAGAAATAACAAAAAAAATGTAACCTTGTTTAGAATATAGAATTAAGATAATCACACAACCATAAGGAATTTTCTTTTTATAAATCGTCCCATGTCAATGCACATTTCCCTTCAATCGCTTTAATCGAACCATCAACACCAGACCGAACAATTAGTTCACTAAATTATTGTGCTTTTGTTGTATCTATTGATATTCCATCTAATTTGATAGTTAAATCGTAACCAAATTTATATTTATTAGTAGCAATCCAATTATGTTCACATTCTTCGGTTATATGTATATATACATATGCTTTAACCTTTGTCCAATGGCTCACACCTGGTTCTTCATAGTCGTCAGTAAATTGAACAATTGTTGATAATTTTTGACCTGGTTTAGCCCATGTTGCCGACTGTTTCAGATAATGTTTTGTGATACTTTCACTAATTTTTTCTGGTTGTATTTCTGTAACGTTATTTCTTTCAAAACATGCTTTGATTGAATCACGTAAATTTTTACGAAAATTATTCAGATCCTTATAGTTTTGAGTTCCCATTTGTCCAAAAGCCGAGATGTCATCTTTGAATACGATGTTTTTAACTATTTTTCTTTCGTTCAAATACTTAATTAATGTTCCAGGAATACGATTGTAAATTTGTATTGCTGTGTTTCGAACGTTGGGTTTGAAGAAAGATGCAATTTCGTTGCCTGCATATGAAGATAAAGCCATATCAATTGATGATATATGTTTTAAGCTGTATTTGAATCTGTTGGTGTTAACGTAACTTGTAAAAGACGATGCGAATTTTGGAAGTTTAGTAATAGTTCGTTTTTCTAAGAAAACGCAAGTATTTATAGGATAAGAAATGGATACTTTGATTATTCCTATCTCTTGTAATACAACAAATTCTAGGGAAAATACCTAAGCGATATCCTTTTATTGATCACTTGGAAAATAATACATATCAATATAAATCGAAAAACAGAAGAAAAACGCATTAAGATAACGAAAGGAAAAATCCCATACGATCACAGATGCAGAAAAGACGAAAATACTATATGAATATATATGTGGAAGAAAAGGAGAAAATCGTATATGATCATATACGGAGAAAAAGAGAAAAATACTATTCTCTTTCTTCGTCATGAATACCATTCACTCGTTATTCGATGGAAAAAACCAATATTATTTTTTTCTTTGTATATATACATATATATATATATCCAGTACTTTTAGCTTCATAGTTGTATTAGAGTATTAAACATTACACGAATTCTGAACACTACAAATTATCCAACAAGACAGTTAGATTAATTTCACGATTTCAAATACAGTTGAAACAGATATCAATCAATATGGCTCTCTTTTCATATACACTCAACGAAATGTTGCCTTTACTACCCACTGAAGTTCATGAAAAAACAGTCGAAATTTACCGACGTGTTCCTGGTACGTTACTCAAATTTTTTGGTCCAAAATTAATAACAAAAAAAGCAGAATGTAATGAGCATAATTTGATTACTGAAAAATCGGTTGAAAGTAATGGTAATGAATACTGGAACAATATAAGAGAAGATTCAAGTGATTCAATGAAAAAAAGAATGCATGTTCAGGATGTAACAAAAACAAATCGAAATTATCCTGCTGAAGCTACATCCAAAAAGCCAATACAGAATGAAACAGCATACAGTAATGCTGTATTGTATACTGAACACGGAAGTGGAATTGAACATAATAAAGACTGGAATAATCTTCGTGTACATTTACGCAAGTCAATAAAAAAAATGTTTCATGATTGTCAAATAACCGAAGTAAGTCCAGACTGCCTTGCTAATGAAATAGCAACAAGATGCCTTCAAGAATGTCCGAATTGGGCAAACAAAGCCAAAATTCATCAGCAATAATTCGATTTAATACTACATATTTAACGAATAATGACTCCGCAAAAATGAATATTCACGTATATGTCTATGCTCATTTAATCTTGCAATGCCAAACATCATTCTTCAAGAAACATCAATATAAAACTAGTTACGACTTAACAATTGAGTTAAATGGAATTTCAATAGGTCCTTTAAAAGTATTAAAATTTTCTCGATTTGTTGCCCAAAATAATGTTTCCGATTCAATCCAAGAAATTGAATTAAACCCACCGTTAACATGGGGCAATCTGTAAAAAGGAAATAGATTCGAGTTTTTTGACTATATTAATTTCATTTCTATACAAGATGATTATGTTTATTGTTCTTTTTCATTGGTACAACTTATTTAAATAAAAGAAAGATATCAAATGATGTCACATTGACCATTCTAAAGAAATACAATTTAAGAGTTAGTGCTGCTGTTGGAGTCAGCCGTTTATTAGGTGTGGGTATAATAATAGAAGAGTCCCATACCTACACTCGATTTTTTGTATATGTTTAATATACACAGACATCAAGGTATTTGCGTGTCGCGCATAGTATGTCTTTCATAGATAATTTCTTGATTTCAACTTTCGAATATTTTAATTACACGAAAAAAACTAATGAGAACAAAAATTCAACAAGATGATATTTTCACTTTTAATTTTAATATTCGATTGAAATATGATTGATAATAATTGGTTTCAAATATATCTCTACCAGCAATGAAAGGTATAAGCAAAAGTTAGGCGTCAATTTTTTTCTAACAACTGTTCTACAGCTGAAACTGCAGCTGATAATACATAATGAATCATCGAGATAATTAAAAAATGAATCATCAATGTTCTTTCAACATATAGTTTGAATTCTCGAGTTCGATAATATAAATTTCTACTAAAATTGTGAATGTTGAGTAATTTATGAATACCTCAAAGTCTTTATTTCCAAATTCTACTTCGCATCGTATTTCGCAGACGAGTCTTGATTCGTGTGCCATCTAGTTATTTATAGTTCTACTGATTTCAAAAAAAAATCAGACATTTATTTATTTGAATATATTTAGTTTGTATTGTAATAAAAAAATACTGTAAATTACTATACTGAAATTGAATAAAAACAAATCATTCAATATTTTCATTGATATAAATAAAAGAATGTTAAGAATGTAAAATATAACAATTTCTAGTAGTTATGTGTGTTAAAGAATCCATAAATGTCAATATTAGAAATATTTGTATCGTGTCATATTAAAACATTCGTAAAAATTATAAATAGCAAAAATAATTTATTAGTACTTATAATAAGATAATATTAGCAAATAGATTGTGAAAGCCTATTCTACTTCTGGCAAAATATATGTTCATTGCAAAAAACGTACTTATGTTTTGAATATATATTTATTTTAATATTTTACTGAAAGTACTTCTTTTACCTGTACACAAATGTTCTTTGAGTTCGTACTACAGGTCATGTAGTACAAGAACACAAATAGAAGTGTGGCAAATTATAAAATAATAAAAGAATTCATGACATTTGCTATTTGATAAGCCATAAACGTTCACATAAATAATACTATTTAAATAATAGGAAAAAACAATGCAGTTTAGTGATTTATTATAAAAAATCGTTCGAATTTTATTTTAATAACGTAGTCGCGTGAAACTCGAATACTATCTACTTCTATTAATCATTCTTTCTGTATCATTTGTAGAAATTAAATATCACTAAGTATTCTCTTAATAGAAATAGAAGAAAAAAAACAAATTTAAATGCTTCTCAATAGAAAAGAAGATGAAGAAAAAACTGGAATTAACGGACTAGAATGGAGTGTTTTGTAATTCAAAGTAAATAAAAATATTCTAATTAGGTTACACATATGAGAAGAAATATAATAGAATTTATAACTAAATCGATATATTGACTATGTTCACTGTTTTGAAAATAAAAAGAAATGAAAGAAAATCTTCATAATATTATTTCTTTACCTTTGGATTATGCAATAGTTTCATATATATAGCAAAAAAAAACTTCGTTGAAAAGAGTTTTGATATGTATTATTAACTTTTTGAGATTAAGTGTGATTCATATTATAGCCTATAAAGAAATATAACTGACGAAAAAACCAGACACATTTTACACTCAAAAGTGTTTATTTTACAGTACGAAAATATTTTTATAGATTAAGAATATATTATCTATTCTCTTTCATTTGTTCTGAATTATTTATATTTTTAAGCGCTTCGAAGACGATTTTCGTAGGTCTTGAACTAGCCTATAAGACAATACAGCTTTCATGAATTTTTTTATTTTTTCGGCATAAATATATGTTATTTTTATTACCCTTTTTTCTATAACTTTTTCTTTTTTTCTTATTGAATCCGATAAAGAAATTATCAAATCCCTCGTAGTTAAAAAAATTATTTTTCTATTGACAATGTGACATTTACTTTTATCACTGTGATGATGAATTAAAAATACTCAAGAGAAAACAAAGGATGATGAAAAAAAATAACTCAAATACGTCATTGAACCATATTTAAATATGCATCGACATTTATATTATATACTTGTTTGAATAAACATTACGAATTTTGTTTTCTTTCTGTTCCTCTCGTAAAAATATTCTCTTTGCCAGACAAAAACTTTTAGTAATATATATACTCTGTCTTTTTTTTATAGAATTATTTTTCATCTAGAATTCTTCTCAAGTAGTATTCGTCAATCATGTTCAAACTCCTTATATCATCAAATCGAATTGTTCTATTAATCTTTATCATTTTACTTGCATCACTCAATCGTTTCTCACGAGCAACAGCAAAAGATAACAGTGATATAACTGATTTATCCAATGATGAAGTAGAAGATCAACGTCGAATGCATGATCTCAATCAGTTACGATATTTTTTATTAACAGCAAATGCTAAACAACTCGCTGCTAAACGTCAACAACAAGCTTTTCGTAAACGACAATTGGTTAGAAGATATTTGTTTTTTTTTATATACTAAAAAAATAATTTATTTTAATTCATAGATTCATGAATACCTTAAATCTATTCATAATCCAATTCGTCTACAAGAAGTTAAAAGTCATCTTGCTTTCGATCATTCTTACTTTCTCGACGTACGCATTCAGAATGGTCATTTTATGGCACGATTATCTGAGCAATGGACCATCAGAAAAGACTCGTTTAAACGCGAGATCAATATATGAAGATCAAATTGATACCATTCGTCTTTCAATTTTTATCTCTTCCTTTTTTTATTTTGTAACAAAAAATAATAATTTCATACATAGTGTGACAAATTATTAATAAAATATAAATAAAATACATGAGATATTGTATATTAAATTATCTGTTCTTGATTGGATGAATAATATTTAATTCTTCCTTCTTCTTTTTAATATAATAATAATTCTTTAATTTATAACATAAAAATATATCAAAATATGATTCTTAACTTATTTGATGATATAGATAGGATAAAATAAATTAATAACATATATATAACTATAGAATTATTTGGTAAAATGCAATAAAAGGATAAAATATAATTATTTGATAAAACAGATAAATGTATAATTATTTTAATATATGATAAAAATATAATTATATAATAAAATAAATAAATTATTAAAATAGAAGAGTTCATAAAAATATTATACTAAATTCTCCACGCAGAAAAGAAACAAAAATATACGGCGTTTCTACACGACGAAAAAAAGTTACTTTAAAGCAAAATGGTGGAGACAACCTTCGTTGTTAGTAATTCGAATTCTTTTATAGAAACAAGAATTTTTTTCGTCAGGTAAAATTGTCTAGTTAATAATAGGTACAAACTTCAATAGAAATGAAAATATTCATATTAATTGTAAATAACACGGAATAACAAAGTAAAGACGTTATTAAAAAAATACCAGTACTAAATAAGATATAATTAAGAAAGATTATTTCATGATTTGAATATCATTACACAATTTGTATAGGAAACAATTTGGATGTAAAGATAGTCTACCACAATACAGACAAGATCTTTGGTTAATATTGATTTTATACGTTTCTGAAAAACTACAAAGAAACGTTTACTCTCATTCTTCCACAATACTTTATCTCCCGACTACGCATATATGTGTCACCAGGAACCAAAGGATTAATTTATGCACAATAATAGATGAGGCGATATTTTACTTCAAAAATCTTCATTGTATATTTGTTGAGTTTTTGTCATTTTAATTTGTATAAATATATATCATATTTTATTCTTCCAGAATTTATATTGATTGATTGATACGATTTCTACTTTTATTGTATTAAACTCTCATGAGATTGAAATAAAATAACATTTATATATAACAACGATAGAGGACTTAATATAATAATATCACGCACCTATCTATTTTCCTTTTTTGTCTTCTTCTCGAAGAAATAAATGATCAGTAACACCTACGAAATAAAGCCGTAAAAGAGGATCAAAGTTGATAATCTTCATTTCTCAAATAAGTCTAATTCTATGACGTATATTCATTTAAAACTAAATGTTATACAATTTTCAAAAAGTCAAATATGAACTATGCAGATGTGTATGAAGACTGATATGTTTTATTTTTGGTACACACCCTTTATTTAAAAATGTCCTCATATGATGTTGATTCCCAATTATTCATTTTCGAGAGTGTGATTAAAGTATATTATCTATTCTTCGAGCTAGAAAAACTCTACCATTATTTATAATTAAAATATCTTCGTATAAATAAGTCTTATAAAAAATATGACATTTATGTAACACGCAGTTCATTAGAAAAATCGAAATGAATAATACCACGACTATCATTAGTGGATCTTTATCAAGTTCAATGCAAGCATTGCGTCTCAGTACAACTGTCCTAGGAATATTAGTTTATAGTACTGGGTTTATCGGAAATTTTCTTTCCTTATTACTTTTTATACAAAAAGAATTACGTCAAGTATCAACAGGCCTTACTTTTTTATTACTTAATATATTTAGTACTATACATCTATTATCATTAATTGTTGAATTTGTTGATACTGTTTTTCAAGTTCAAGTTATACCAAATGCTATCTTTCGATGTCAATTTATATTATGGTTACAAAATGCAACACGTACAATATGTTCATTTTTAGCAGCTACTGTATCACTTGATCGTTTTCTACGTTCAGAATATCCGATGAAATCACGTTTATGGTGTACAAAAAAAAATGTTATCAAACTTTTTGCTATCTATTGCTTTTTTTCAGTATCATTCTATACATTTTTCTTTCATCCACTTAATGTATTTAATGATCAAGGACAATGTTCATTTCCAATTCCAAGTACATTTCGTCTATTTGCTTTAAATATTCTACCACCAATACGTTTTATAATTATCTGTGTTCTACCAGTTATCATTATGGTTGGATGTGGTGGTCGAATGCTTTATAATATTCAACAATCTAAAAAACGTGTTATACAACAACCAGCAAAAACAAAGGTAGATATTGCAACTATTATTCCTCCATCATCAAAAGGAAGTAATGTAACTGAAGAAACCCGAAAAGAAAGAGCAAATATTGATTATATGTTACTTTTAATGGTTCTAGCCAATGTAGCAGCATATATAATAACACAAATTCCATTTAATGTATATACTCTTTACTATGGTTATGAAACATCAGATGATTATACAGTATATTCATTAATGCGAGCATTTCTGTTGATGTGGAGTTCAGTCTATTTTGGTATTGGTTTTTATTTATTTTGTATAACATCACCACAATTTCGAAAACAATTTATAACAAAAATTAAAACATTGTGTGTTTACCAACCTCATCCACCACGTGGAACAAGACTACAAAGAGCTCGTTAAATTAAAACTCCCTTTAACTCATCTTGTGCACATTTTACAACTTAAAATTTAAAAAAGATTACATTCAATAATATTGTGCACATGTTTTTATTGATAAGAAGATATCAAAAAATTATATATACTGTTATGCAATTGCTGTCAAACATTTGTATCCAATACATCCACTAGTATAATTACATTCATTTTAGTTGATTTCACTTGTATTTTATTAAAAAATCTATTATATTCATGCCAACGTATGTCAGCAGATTCGTGAGTATACTGCAAGCCAAATATTAGAATGGATTACAAGTTCTTTCCATTTGTTTAAAGGCCTGCTTAGTTTGAAAAGATTTTTATGTAGCTTTATAAGTTTTAATTTTATAATAAAAAACTAATCAAGCGTTTTTAATTGAATACTATCTACAACGATCAGATAAAAAGCGGTTCAAGCTTAAAAACTGTTGAATACAGTTTACAACTAATAATATGAGTTTTATATATGAGATCATTCAACACTTCGATTTATATAGTAAAAGAATATACTCTTGTTTCAATTATTTTTAAGCTTGGTCTGTGACAAAAAGTTCTTGTTAAGCTAGTTCAACACGTACATTGTCTAGTGTCTTTCATTCTTTTCATAAGTACAGTAGTTTTAATTATCTGTTCTCTGTTAAATCATCATGACATTAATAATGAGTATTTAAAAATATTTTAGTATGCAAACAGAAGTTGCATGAAAAGGATTTTCTAAATAGACCTATAGCATGATAGAATGTTGGAATAATATCTGTATTTCATTTAATATTTGCACTCGGAAAAAGTAAATCTGACACATGTAAGAATAATCCTATGCAAGCCGTCGTAATTATCAAGAGTATTCGCCTGAGGTATATAGCCTTACCCAAGATCAAATAACATTTGGAACTCAATTTTTCTGTTTAAAAAGTAGACTAATAATGTGTCATACCTACAGATAAGTTCCTTTAACATTAGAAAAATTGGCATCTTTAGTGATAATGTCAAAACTAAGATGTATAGTTTATTATTTAACAGTAAAACAAAATCACTTTGATTAATAAACAAGTGATAAGCTGTTCTCACATATTCGTTTCTATAATGATTTAAGTTTTCATTATTTCGCAAACGATCTTCGCTACAATGTCAATAAATTCGATCTTGAATTGTTTTTAGCCTTTCTAAAAAATTCTGTTGATTTCTTAATAATCATTTAAAAAATATTCAATAATTTAAAATAAGTACACATTAGTTTTGATTTATAAATATGTTACTTTTTCCCACCTAGATTTCTTATTTCATATACAATTTCATACAAGTGTGCATGTGTTCATATGCACAAAAATGATCACAAAGCAAACAAAACAAGAATAAAGAAGCGAGAATAAGTCACCCATCAGAAATAAGGGAGAGAGAGAGAGAGACAGATACATAGATATACACACGAACACACACAAATATAATATGAGCAGCATTCAATAGACATGAGCACAAAAGAAAATATCATCGAAAAAGAAAAGAAAAACGAAAATTTTCATAATTTTTATTCTTTGTTTTTTTTGTAGAACGATTTTATCAGACAGAAGAAGCTGATAGTTGGTGGGGCCTATCAAATGCCATAAATCGCTCTTCAGAATAAAAAAAAACGAATGTGCATTAAGTTCAGGTATAAAAATAAGGACTTTAAAATAGACAAACAAATAAATGAAACAAAAAAATACGTGCAATATAGGAGAATTTGCTAACTGTTACATCATAAATGAATGGAGAAGAGAAAGGAAATAGAAATAAATCGACATAATCACAGTGCGGAAGAAGAAAAAATAAATGAGATAATTGTTCTATGTTGTATCAAGTCTGATTAATCGTAATTTGGCTGAATCAACAAGTACTGTTGCAGCTTCATTTGTTCCACCACAATAATGTGATGAGGAGAAAACCGTTAATAACCGACCGCTTAATTGTACCTAAATGTTTTTTGAAGAGAAAAAAACAAAAATATTTATTTTTCATCAGTTAAATAAAAATATTGATTATACTTTGAAGCCAACTTGTACTACTTCATGTGCACGTATAACATGAGTGAAATTATTCTTTTCAAGAAATGCCATAAGTGCTTCACCTGTAAAATAATTTCCCGTACTTCTTCGGGTATTGGGAAAGAAACCACCAATAGCACCACTAGGTATTTGAGCAGCCGTGTTTGTATCAATAGAAAATGGATCATTCCACATAATTTCCCATGCTAATGATGATTCACTTTCAGGTTCACTTAATGGCACAATAATATCATTAACGGTTGAAACGAAATCACCTGGACATGCTGTAGGACTTGGAATACCACCATGTAGACAAAGAATCTATTATATTACAATAATAAATATGTGTTCAGATTCTTATATGAATATATATAAATACTTTATCATCAATTACAGCAGCAAGTGGTAATACATCAAAAACAGTATTAATTGCATCCCATACTTCTTTACCAAGTGTATCACCAAATTTACCCAGACATTCTCTATAAAACATAAAAATCTCATTTAAAAATATGTATATGTATTTATAATATCAGTCATTAAATGCTAATTTTAGCTATTTAAAAAAGTATATTTATTGACATTGAAAAAAAGTATATTAACTAAACTATGCTTCGTATAATTTACTTAGGTAATATTACAATGCATACTGAGTAAATAAAAAGTAAATTTACTCTATACTTAAGAGCTTAAATAACGAGTAACATACGATAATGTATTAAATATTCAGTCAATACTATGAATTTGTGTCTAGGAATACTTATATGTATGATAACTTACTTATAAAAACTAAACATTTGTTGAACTTTTCTTATTTCATGATTTCCACGAAGAAGTAAAACTTTTTTCGGACATTGAAATTTTGCAGCTAATAAATAAATGATGACCTAAAATTAAATAGAATGTTTTATTTTTCGAAAGACAAAAAAGAAAAAATAAAGTCTTTACTTCAAGACCATGAACACCACGATCAACATAATCACCAAGAAAAAGAAAGGATGCTGGCGATAAAAGTGGTGTTGCACGCCATAAAGATTTTTCAAAACAAACTAAATCTTGATAATTTCCATGTATATCACCAAGTACATAGCATGGTGATGATATTTTAAGACAACGTGGTTCACGTCGAATAATTTCTCGTACTTCTTTACATAAACTAATAACATTTTTTGCTAGATTAATAAATGTACTTGGTGTCCAGACTAAAGCATCTTTTGTTTGATCACGTTTTTCAAAGAAACGTAATAAATCTTGGATATCTGTTGCTACTGTTCTCTATTATTATGAAGAAAAGGAGAATGAGAAAATAATTTTGTGTTTTTTTTTGCTATTTACTCGATCAAATATTTCTTCTGA